GGGTGGCAGAAGTTGCTCACAGAATCCAAAGGCATAAAATATTCTATTTCTGCAGCCCAATTCCAGACTTGAGGTGAGAAACCTCTGAAGCAAGGAGTCTTGCTTTGAACAACTGTTCTCCACCTTCATCTTCCAAAAATATAATTGGACATCTCAAATTGGCCCCCCAACTCACTGGGGAAATGAAATATTGCACTATTCTTAGAAGTATTTGTGCAAAGCATTTAACCTACCATCGCACATTTCTCTATCCATTGAAACTTTTTTTGCATGAAGATACATTCACAGGTTTGTATGGCAAGCAGACATTATCCCCAATGTAATGTATAAATGTTTATGCTTAAAAGTCAGGTAAAGGAGGTGGTGACAGGTACCTCTCAGGTGTAGATTCAATTTTTACAGCAACCTGGGATGGGGGAAATGCAAAAATTCAACCCATTTCTCTTTTCAAAGAAAGAAACTGTTTAGCATAACTTTTTTTTTTTTAAAAAAAAAAAAGAAAAGATCTGTAAAGGGAAGAGGAGCCTTTTGGTGCAAAGATAGGAACTGCTCTACAAAAAGAGAAGACCCCCATCGTGCTTGGTCCCAGGCAGTGACCTGACAATTCCCCGTGTTTTATTAATGAAGTGTCAGGACTTTTCATCATTTCTTCCCTTTTCCAATCTTAAAATCCAGCCCATTTGCAGGCTTGCTTTCTAGCAGCCCTGGCTCTAGAAACAGTGAGCAAGCCAGGACCTCACATTCTGGGAGCCTCTGACCCAAGAGGAAGCAGGGAAGGTATAAGAACAAGACCTCATCCTAAAACCTCTGGGAGAGTGAGGGCAAGGCATTCAGACTTCCTAGGAAAGGAATTTCTGAATAACAATGACACTCTTGGCAAAAGTGCTGGGCGGGCATAAAGTGTGAGTTCTCCCTTTTAGGATGGCAGGCACTATAGGGAGAAAGCACTCTTTTAGGGAAAGAGCACTCCTTTGACTTTAGCCCCTTAGGATGAAGCCTAATTTTGTGTTGCTGGTGCCTTTAAAAATTAGGAAGTGAGTGAAAATTATTTCATTGCCCCTTGAAATCTATACCCAAACAAACAGGTTTGTTGTGACTTTGAAGTAGTGTTTTTGGCATATTGATTTAAAACAGTCAAAAGTCCCAAGCAACAAACCCCTGGCTTGCTTTTCTGTTTGATTGACTCCTTGTTTTTACTGACCTTGGATGAACTGTTAAGATTTCATGTTTTCTTTCTTGCATTTAGTGGTGGTTTGTTCCTAACACTACGAATGACTAAGTCTGGCTGGGTTTCTGGGTTAGTGGGGGTTGTTAGATCATTTCCACAATTTGACTGCCCAACTCTAAGCCTCCGTGTTTCCCTAGGCAGCAATGGAAAATTTAGCTATGATAATAAAGGAAAAATTTAAAGGATTCCCCAATTCCACCCCCTGCGGGTGTACTTGTTACAATGTCCTCTGAATGAATTGTTCCTCCCTTTTCTGATAACCTCAGAGTGATCCATTCACTTCTAACAGCTGGTCAATTAGGAGGCAATATACTGCCACTTCACTCTTCCCGAAGATGTGCCTTACTCTGGGGAAGCGTTCTTTCCCATGGTAGTGTGTGTGTGTGTGTGTGTGTGTGTGTGTGTGTGTTTAAGGCACATCCTGTGTGGCACCTTGAACATTTTACTTCTCTGGAGGAACTGGCAAATTGCTCAAGGATAGGCCAGGGTTAGGGACCTCCTTGCTTTCACATCTCACCTTTTCCTTATGCTGAGGTGGCCTGCATGGGTCTTACACACTTGATTAGAGAACTATCCTGACCGAAGTTGATAGATGAGTGCATGTGTGCACTCACCAGGGTCCTCACTTCATTCTGCATTTTCTAAAATAGAGACTGCGGCAACAACTCTGGATCTCTTGTCCTTAAAGAAAGCAAATGTATATTTGAAAGTGGGAACACTCTCCATGCTTCCTTCCAAGTTTTTAGACCGGGCACCTCATGCAGAAACTTCTCCCTTTTTTCCCTCATCCAGCAGTGTTTCCAGTGAGGCGCTGAACCTAGTCTATTCTCTGGGCTGACAGTGGTTTCAGGCTCTTCGGAGACACAGCAAGGCCACTGGTTTGCACCCTGTACCAGAGGGATCATTCATCCACGAAGCAGGACGGCTCAGAGAAAAGAGGGAAGGGTACAAAAGCGAGCGGGGATAGAGTGAATTTAGAGGTCTTCTCCCAGAATACGGGGCCGCCGGTATCCAAGTTCCCCGAGATGCACTCGGATTGTTCCGCCTTCCACTTGCGCAGCAGACCTGCAGCTCTAGCACCAGGGCTGTGTTTGCTCTGGGTTTGGAGACCGTTGTCAGTTGCGGGCTGGTTAGGTGTTAGCTTTCGTGCCTGCCGAGAGAGGATCTGGATGTTGCTAGCTCTCGCTTTCACCCTCCCCCTCCCGCCCAGTAACATGCCAGCCCTTTAATGTGGAGTGTCAGGGAGACGGTGACGTCACCTTGCCCGCTGGGTGGCGTCCCCTCGGTCCGACACGAGTTCAGAGACAGAGAAAGGCGCTGTCAGACTGCTCTCCACCCGGGGCTCTCCTGCCGCGGGTTCCCGCGCGCCCACACTGTCTGGGGTGGAGGGACGCCCCGCCGCAATCCAGGCCTTCCTCACCCCGCCGCCTGGGTTCGAGCACCGTGAGCGCAGACGAGCGCCAGGATCTTCGCGCGGAGCCCTCCGGAGTCCCGCCCGCTGGATTCGAGGACCCGCTTGGATGCTTCGCCTCCGAAAGCCCTCGGAAGATGGGTCGGCAGCCACGCGTGTAAAGACACCTAGGGGTTACCAGGTACTGCCGGAACCGGCCTGCCCAGACTGGGCGCACAGCTCGCGGTGCACTATTTGAGATTCCCCTGCGGTGGGACTTTCTGGGGTAGATGGAAGACCACGGCTGGCCTCGGTGTTGATTTGGCAGCAAGGGAAGTTAAGTTGGGGATCGTTGTCTCGCGAGTCGGATAGGGAAGTTCGCCAGCTTCCTTTTGTAGTTCTACTAACTTTTAATTGCCCCTTCTCCCCACGCGCCTTTAAAAACAAGAACTTAAACCCTCTTACGTGTATTTCTGTTCTGACAAGGGTCTCTGCATGGGCTTGGGCTGAAACTGCAGGACACCCAGAAGGAGACACTTCGGCCCAGCCTACTGCTGCTAAGGCTGCAGGTCTCTAACGTGAGGGGCCAGGCCCTCCGCGCACGGCGGGGCTGGGGAGCGAGAGTTCCCGCTCAACCAGGGTCTTAAGATAATAAGAAATTTGTTTGGGAGGGAAGTGAGCATTGAGGTCTCATCTGGCAAAGCGAGGGCTGTTTGTGCCACATCCAGGTATTACTGTGTCTTGAACTGCCACTCAGCACCCTGTCCTCTGGAAATACTGTCTCCGATCTATCCGAAGTGACAATCCAGCCTCTCTCGCTGATGGCGTCAAGATGTGCCATCCTTTCTGGAGGCCGCCAGCCTAATGAGATCTGAGGATCCAAGGGGTCGCTAGGGCGTGGGGACAGATGTCGCAGGGGTCCAGAGAGGGCGAGGATCTGACAGTCGGGGTGAGGTTGGTCGGGTAGAATATCCTTTAAAATCACCATTGGAACAAACTCCAGTGTGCTTGACTGAAAGTGGCGATGCTACTGGCCACGGGTGATTTTCCAGGGCAAAGGATAGTCTTGACCGCCGTGCTAGACTTGTGGTTGTGGAGAGGTCGCAGCTTGATTTCCTAGGGAATGAGCCACGGTGCTTGTTTTGACTTAGCCGCTGGATCGTAAAGGTTTCTTTCCCTTGTTTTTCCCCATATTTTCAATGTACTGGATATTTTTCCCCATTATGGGAACCCGTTGGTCGGGAGATGATAGGCATTTTCCCCCGCAGGCCCAACCCGGGGCTTGGCCTTTCAATGCGCCCACAGATTACCTAGCCCATGAATTATCTACTCTGTGGGGCACTTCTCCCCAGTCAGGATATGGAGCTGTCTGCATGGAACAGAAAAAGAAATTCACGGAAAGTGATTCACCTTACAACTATATTCGCCCTTTAAAGCCTACCAAAAATGATCCCCAAGAATTGTCATTTTCAAAACACTGTTTCTGGGTGAGCTACTTGCCTGCAATTATTTGCTCATTATTATGGAAATGACCAAAAATTTTTTTTAATGACTTCAAGTCTACAAGTTCACCTTCTTAAGCTACTTATCTGAAATCAGAATGCTTCAGATCTGCCAGTAGTTTTGTTTTGTTTTGTTTCTAAGTGAAAGTAAAACGCCCTGTTTTGGTGCAGTCATACATATGGTTTTGTACATTATTTCATCTTTCTCCCAAATATTCTAATTATAGTATCAAAATATCTAATGGCAGAGATGGGGGAGAAAGGATTTCGTTTTGCTTTAATGGGCTGTGTCTCAACCAGTAGTAAACCCCCACCCTCCCCCCAGGAAACCACAGGTACCACAAAAATTACGTTTTAAAAGGTTGGGGGTTATTTAACCAAAATCAATCTATTTTCAAAAAAAATATGAATTGTCTCTCTTAAAATTGGGTTTCAATGGCCACGTCCCAGTTTTCCATAACTTCTAGAATCTGTACCAGTTACAACTATGAGCCTTCCTAATTTCCAGCCATTTTATTTTGAAAGCTTTTATAAATCAGGGGTACAGCTTGAGTTTCTCGAGAATTGACTGATTTGGGGGGGAAAATATAATTTACTTTGGATGTTTAGAACAGAAAAAAAGTACTTCCAAAACCCCTGCATTTCCAGGGGCAACCGTGAAGAAAATGAAAAGAGATGCTTCCTTATGTCTGAAATTTCTCTCTTCGCCCCGTGATAATCGTGTCTTAACCAGAGCAAGGAAGTTACTGTCATTCTTCAGTTCGTCCACTTAACCCGCTCGGTTTTAAAGCGGAAAGGCTCAAGTCAACTCTTTCTCTCTTCCCTTGCAGCGTCCAAGGCAGCCCCGGAGCGCTCGGCCCGGGCGTCCGCGGGGGAGGAGATGGCTTCCAGTCCGCTGCCGGGGCCCAACGACATCTTGCTGGCATCGCCGTCGAGCGCCTTCCAGCCCGATGCGCTGAGCCAGCCGCGACCTGGTCACGCCAACCTCAAACCCAACCAGGTGGGCCAGGTGATCCTCTACGGCATCCCCATCGTGTCGTTGGTGATAGACGGGCAGGAGCGCCTGTGCCTGGCTCAGATCTCCAACACGCTCCTCAAGAACTTCAGCTACAACGAGATCCACAACCGCCGCGTGGCGCTGGGCATCACGTGCGTGCAGTGCACCCCGGTGCAGCTGGAGATCCTGAGGCGCGCCGGGGCCATGCCCATCTCTTCGCGCCGCTGTGGGATGATCACCAAGCGCGAGGCTGAGCGCTTGTGCAAGTCGTTCCTCGGCGAAAACAGGCCGCCCAAGCTCCCCGACAACTTCGCCTTCGACGTGTCGCACGAGTGCGCCTGGGGCTGCCGCGGCAGCTTCATCCCCGCGCGCTACAACAGCTCGCGCGCCAAGTGCATCAAATGCAGCTACTGCAACATGTACTTCTCGCCCAACAAGTTCATCTTCCACTCCCACCGCACGCCCGACGCCAAGTACACGCAGCCGGACGCAGCCAACTTCAACTCGTGGCGCCGGCACCTCAAGCTCACCGACAAGAGCCCCCAGGACGAGCTGGTCTTCGCCTGGGAGGACGTGAAGGCCATGTTCAACGGCGGCAGCCGCAAGCGCGCGCTGCCCCAGCCGGGCGCGCACCCCGCCTGCCACCCGCTCAGCTCGGTCAAGGCGGCCGCGGTGGCCGCGGCGGCCGCCGTGGCCGGGGGCGGGGGGCTGCTGGGCCCGCACCTGCTGGGGGCACCCCCGCCCCCCCCGCCGCCCCCGCCCCTGGCCGAGCTGGCGGGCGCCCCGCACGCGCACCACAAACGCCCGCGCTTTGACGACGACGAGGACTCGCTGCAGGAGGCGGCCGTGGTGGCCGCCGCCAGCCTCTCGGCCGCCGCCGCCAGCCTCTCGGTGGCCGCGGCCTCGGGGGGCGCGGGCGCGGGCGCGGGCGGCGCCGGGGGCGGCTGCGTGGCCGGTGTGGGCGCGGGCGCGGGCGCAGCGGCGGGCGCCAAGGGCCCTCGCAGCTACCCGGTCATCCCGGTGCCCAGCAAGGGCTCGTTCGGGGGCGTGCTGCAGAAGTTCCCGGGGTGCGGGGGGCTCTTCCCGCATCCCTACACCTTCCCCGCGGCGGCCGCGGCCTTCGGCTTGTGCCACAAGAAAGAGGACGCGGGCGCTGCGGCCGAGGGGCTGGGCGGCGCGGGCGGCGCGGGCGCGGGGCCCAAAGCGGGGCTGTCGGGCCTCTTCTGGCCCGCGGGCCGCAAGGACGCCTTCTACCCGCCCTTCTGCATGTTCTGGCCGCCGCGCACCCCCGGCGGGCTGCCGGTGCCCACCTACCTGCAGCCCCCGCCGCAGCCGCCCTCCGCGCTGGGCTGCGCGCTCGGCGACAGCCCGGCCCTGCTGCGCCAGGCCTTCCTGGACCTGGCCGAGCCGGGGGGCGCGGGGGGCAGCGCCGACGCCGCGCCCCCGCCGGGCCAGCCGCCCCCGGTGGTGGCCAACGGCCCGGGCTCCGGCCCCCCCCCGCCGGCGGGGGGTGCGGGCGCGCGCGACGCGCTCTTCGAGTCGCCCCCGGGCGGCAGCGGCGGGGACTGCAGCGCGGGCTCCACGCCGCCCGCGGACCCGGGCGCGGTGTCCGCCGCGGGCGCAGCCGCCGCCGGGGCCGGCCCGGCGGGCGCCCGCGTGCCCGCGCCCCACCACCCGCACCTCCTGGAGGGGCGCAAGGCGGGCGCGGGCGGCTACCACCATTCGAGCGCCTTCCGGCCGGTGGGCGGCAAAGACGACGCGGAGAGCCTGGCCAAACTGCACGGGGCGTCCGCGGGCGCGCCGCACGCGGCCCAGGCGCACCACCACCACCACCACCACCACCCGCACCACCACCACCACCACCACCCCCGCAGCCCCCGTCGCCGCTGCTGCTGCTGGCCCCGCAGCCCGAGGAGCCGGGATCCGAGCGCCACCACCCCGCCCCGCCCCCACCCCCGCCCCCGCCCCCCGCGCTGGCCCCGCAGCCGCACCACCGAGGCCTTCTGTCCCCCGGGGGCACCAGCTGCAGCTACCCCAGCGAGGACAGCTCCGAGGACGAGGACGACGAGGAGGAAGAGCAGGAGGTGGACGTGGAGGGCCACAAGCCCCCCGAGGGCGAGGAAGAGGAGGAGGGCCGAGACCCCGACGAGGACGAGGAGGAAGACGAGGAGACAGGGGTGCTCCTAGGGGACCCCTTGGCCGGGGGCGGCCGGTTCCTCCAGGGCCGAGGGCTGTCGGAGAAGGGGAGCAACCGGGACCGCGCGTCCGCCGCCGCGGGCGCTTTCCCGCTCGCCCTGAACTCCTCCAGGCTGCTCCCCGAGGACGCGAAGCTGGGTGACCCCGGCGGATCGGACCTGCCCCGCCCCCGCCCCCGCCCCTGGCC